GAGGTGTGTGTGTGGCCAGCTCAGCCCACCAGGGGGCGCGGCTGGCTGGCATGTGGTGCTGGGGGATCGAACCTCGGTCCCTGATGCTTTGCTAAGCTTGTTCTAAGTAGGTGCTTTAGACCACTGAGCCATCTCTCCAGCCCCAACACCTGATCTTTGGAGGGTTTTAAAAACCAGACTTGGAGGAGGGCCAGGGAGATGGCTCAGTAGAATAAGTGCTTCCCTGGCAAGTGCAAGAGCCTGAGTTCAATCCCCCGTTCTGCCAAAAAAAAAAAAAAAGCTGGAGACAGCTCAGTAGAATAAGTGATTGCCTGGCAAGCGCACAGTCCGGAGTTCAATCCCCGGTACCATAAAAAAAAAAGAAACAGATTTGGAGCTACTCTGAGATGATGGTATGATGACCCTGCAGGTGGTGAGGAGACATGGCAGCAGAAAGCCATCATGGCTGATGTAACTTACCCAAAGCGCAGCACACAGGGTGAACACCAAGCAGAGCTGCAGGGAAGGAGAGATGAACAGTTACTCTGAGATCCTTCAAAAGCCAGATACAAAAGCACAAACCAGTCTGCATTCATCTGCACAGATAAGCTAACACAGAACAAATATATTGAGGCAGCAGACTCTCATTTCACTAACAGAGTCCATGGGTATCATTTTAAAGTCCATGGAGAGCACAGGCCTGGCATGTGAGTGAGACTGCCTGGGGCCTGCCAGATCTTCATTCAACCCAGAGCCCAAGCCCAGCGTGGAACCTGCAGTCCCTGTGGAGAGGCTAGAGGCAAGACCCACCCAGCTGATTCAGGAACAGAACATCTTGCCAGAGTGGCAAAGAGGGTTCAACTCCAAGGGCTGCAGCAGGAAGAAGTGGAGCACAGCAACCAGATCCAAGGCATACCCACTTGGACGAGTTTGAACTTAGTAGATTTGGACCTGGTGCTAAGGTAATAACTCTATCTAAGCTCTACACCAAAGGTCAGAAGACAGTGCTGTAGAAAATGACAAAAAGAAGGAATAAAATGCAGTCCCAGGCCCTGAGCCCACCCCAAACAAATGCAGAAGATACTAGCAAAGAAGAAATTGGAAATCACACACCTGAATTCTCTGAAATAATAGCGTGTGAAGTAAAGAAACTACAAAAAGGTATAGAGAAAATCAGACCAGAAATAATTTCTGAAGTAAAAAAAGAAATGATAGCTATACTGAAAGAAGTACTGAGTGCTTCTAAAGAAGACACTGATAAATAGAGCAGAATATAAAAATGATGGAATCCTTGAATAAGCAATAAAGGAAAGAAATGGAATGCACGGAGCAGATCCAAAGTGATATACAGGAAATTAAAACCTCAATCACAATCTGGCAAAACTGTTTGAATGAAAGTGAGAATAGATTTTCAGACCTTAAAGACACCATTGCAGCTAATGAAAAACTAAGAAAAGATCTCTTAAGAACAACTAGGATGCAGGAAAAAAATAATACGATACCTGCAAGACAATGCAAAGATGAACAATGTGAGACTAATAGGCATCAATGTGAAGGAAGGAGTCAATACAAATGATATAAAAAGAATATGGATGGAAGTAATAGAAAAAAACTTCCCAAATATGGGGAAACAATCTGACATTCAGGTAAAACCGAAGCATATAGAACTCCAAATAACATCAACCCAATTAAAACCACACCCACACATATAATAATTAAGATCCCAGAAATTTAGAACAGGAATAGTACACTGACAGCCTTTAAAGAAAAGAAACAGATCACGTTTAAAGGAAAACCCATCAGGATAACAGCAGATTTCTCTTCACAAACCATGAAGTCAAGAAGAGCATGGAGCAAAGTACTTCAAAGTCTTGCAAAAACAATAAATTGCAACCCAGACTGATATACTCTGCAAAATTATCTTTCAACTATAATGGAAAAGTGAAATACTTCCATGACAAAGAACAACTTAATCTCATGATGACAAAGCCAAACCTACACAGACTACTAAAAGATGTTCTAGAGAGGGAGCAAGATGACCACAACTCCATGAATGAAAATGGAAATAACCCACCAAATAGGGCAAACAATTAAACACAGGAGAATAAGAGGTATACTAAAGCAGTCTTTCAGTTATTCTTTTGTATACAGCAGCAAGGTATTTCCATCAGCACACTCTACAAATGGACTTTTCCTGCACCCTATGGGTCATGATTCTATCTGGGTCTACAGGGTGGATATCAAAGAAATAGCAGTAGCTCAGTCCCACAAGTGACACCTGGACACCAGTAAGTGTTACGGACATTATCCATGTCCACGACACACTAGAACTTTGTGCAACAGCCTATACCCAAACTGCTAGAAGTGCTGGTCATTTATTTATTTGTCATTCCAGTCAATATTTATCTAATGTTTTATTCTTAGTAAGTCTTTACTATCATGAAAAGTTTTTCTTAGTTCAGTTGTTTTGAAATATTTAATTTTTTTTTGAAAATATCATACCATGTCTTTTTTTTTTAATTTGTTTATTTATTTATTTATTTTGTGTGTGTGTGGCCAGCTCAGCCCACCAGGGGGCGGGGCTGGCTGGCATGTGATGCTGGGGGATTGAACCGCGGTCCCTGTACTTTGCTTAGCTTAGTTTGTTCTAAGTAGGTGCTTTAGACCACTGAGCCATCTCACCAGCCCCGAAACATTTAATTTTTAATTGATTAGTATTTAATTTTCTGAATATTGCTTAATCTTTAAATTTTTTTGTTTTAAGATTTATACCGTATATTTCACTTATAATCTATTTAAAAGACATCGTATGATTTTTCTCCTAGTTTTAGAAACTTTAAAAAGTATATTTCCATTTTCCTTTGACTTTATATTACTTTTTCCCTATCTTTTACACACACACACACATACACGAAAAAAATATGTGTATAACCCAACATAAGATTGATACTGTTTCATAGAAATCTTTAATGACCTTTTAAATGGGTTCATCTTATATATTTTACATTGTCCTGCATAACTATCATTTTGAGAGCTTTTTATTCTTCATCTAGGCACACACAACAACTTCTCTTGCTTCTGAATTATGCTGTTATTTTCTATATGGTACGTCTGGAGGTATTAGAATATTTGGAGTTTGAGTAGCTGGAAAATATTTTACTTTTAGTTTTCAAAGCTATGTTTTTTGCTAAGTATAAAATTCAAAGAGGACAGATCTTTTTTTTTTTTTTTTGCTTATTTGTTTTTACATTTATTTATTGTGTGTGTGTGTGTGTGTGTGGCCAGCTCAGCCCACCAGGGGGCGGGGCTGGCTGGCATGTGGTGCTGGGGGATT